GAAGCTTCGTTCTCAACAAAGGGCGTGCGAGTACGAAACATACTTTAGCTTCGGCACACTTTCTTCCGTAACGGTCAAGCATCAAAGCCGAAGCAGTTGCGACCGTCATTGTTGCCGATCGAGATTCCTTCGCCGCATACGCCAGGAGCAGAAAGAGAATCGAGACGCATCCAACCACGCAGACGGAGTGAAACGAAACGAAACGAAACAAAACAAAACAAAACAAAACAAAACAAAACAAAACAAAACAAAACGCAACGAACCAGTCCCCGAGGAATGGAACAAAACGGAACGAAACGAAACGGACAGAAGAAAGCACCCAATCGCAAATAAACCCGATTTGACCCGGCGGCGATGAGATCCCGAGCGACAGCTTCGGTGGCCGCCCGCGCCGACGCGGAAGGAACCAGCTCCAATCCCCGGGGTGAGGAAGCGATGACGACGACAACGACGACGCTGCCCCAGGGCGGTCCGCARCGCTTTGCCCTCCCGGGGAGGACCACGCGGAAGCGGAACCTGGAATTCCGGACCGCCCGTCGGAGAAAAAACGATCTCCCGTCCGCTTCCGGTGGCACAGGCACCTCTTCGGGCCTCTCGCTGTGCGCCTCCGCCGCCCCCCTGGTGCTGGCCGTTATGCTCTGGTATTCCCTCGGGGTGGTAAGCATTTCCAGCAGCAAGGTGCTCCTGACGCCCTACTCTTCCGGGGGCGGGAGCGACGACTACGAAACCGAWTACGAGCACGAATACGACGATTCGGTAGCCGAAGAGCAGGCCTTCTACCGCCACGTCGGGGGACTCCCGCCCCTCTTTCTGACGCTCCAGCAGTTGCTTCTGGGATCGACTTTTTTGCGGCTGGCCATTTACCTCCGTTTCCTCGGACTCACCAAGGGCATCGCCCCGCTGGAYGACGTGCTGGATGCCTACGGCAGCGGCAGCCACGGCAACCGCGATTCGCCCGTTCTGAGCAAGCTCGTGTGGACGGGGATCTACTTTGCGCTGGGCTTTCTCACCACCAACATGGCCTTTGGGGCAGCGGCACCGACCTACGTCGAGACCCTCAAGGCGGCGGAGCCCATCACGAGTGCTGTCTTTGCCGTACTCTGGGGGATCGAGCGCCTCACCCTCCCGGAGGTGGTCGGACTTTTCGGGATCGTGGGCGGCGTCCTTTTGTCCACCAACGGATCCAACCACTCGGCCAGCATGTCGGGAGAGTCGGCGGGAACCTCGCTCGSGGCCGCCACGGCCATCGTCATGGCCTCGAACTTCTGCTTTTCCCTGCGGGGGCTCTACCAGAAGCTCTTTCGCACCGGAGCAAAGGCGCTGGCCGCGGAAACGGMGCGGCTGGACGCCGGGGATGCCGAGGCTTCCGGCRAGGAGCCGTCCAAACCGGCGCGATCGGTGCTGGCACTCGACGACCTGAACCTGCAGTTTCGGATGCAGCAAACGGGCGTCGTGCTGCTGCTGGTTCCCACCCTGCTCTGGCACGGGGAGGGACTCTTCCTCCACGCCACGGGCGCCGCCTCCCACCTGGCGACGCACGACTTTCTCGACCTCCTGCGGCGCTACATGCTCTGGTCCGTCGGAAACGGCCTGGCCTTTTCCAGCTACAACCTGGCATCGACCTACCTGCTCACCAGGATCAGCGTCGTCCACCACGCCGCCCTCAACTGCACCCGCAGGATATTCGCCATTGTCTGCACCGGCCTGCTCTTCCGGATCCCGATCTCCGCCCAGAGCATGACCGGGATCGGGATTTCCTTTGCCGGGTTCATGGTCTTTTCCTGGGCCAAGTCGAGAAAGAAGGCGGCCGAAGGTCGCACCGGGGACCGGCAAACCGGGAGCCAGCGGGCCGATGCGCACCGGGAGATTCCCAGCGGGAACGCGGCCGGCAGCAACAACAACAACAACAACAACAACATCTCTGCTAGCAGCATGAATGGCAACAACCACCCGCACTACGGCGGCGGAGACCGGCTGACGCACCGAAAAAAGTCTGGAAAGGAGTCCGCTGGCGTTACCCTTTCATCGCTGCCGGCCCCACCGGGGGAGGCACAAGCGTCGGTGTCCGAGCGAACGCCYCCGCGATTCGCACGTCCCACCGGACGACCGAAACCGAGGTCCGCGGCGCCACAGGCATCGGTTCGGTTCCCGCCTCCTCCTCCGCCGCCACCGCCGCCCATTGGACGGTGACAGACGAATCGAAACGGAACGGAACGTAAGGAACGCATGGCTATTTTGTCTCTGTGGGAAGAACGACCTGTTGTTTGCTTGTCTGCCTGCCTGCCTGCCAAACCTTGACGATGCGTCCGCACGTCGTTTTGCGCAGTAGGAAAGGGAACCGGACGAATTGCTCCTGCTCGATCCGGAGAGATTCATGCCGTCGCAAGCTGGCAGTGCTATACGGCACGTTCTTGGTCACCCAGGCGTTGTTTTTGTGAGAACCAGAGAGACCGCTTGCAGGGGCTTGCTCCACCCGATGCTTTTCCATGGTTCCACGAGTATGCGCAGACGGGCGGAATACGAAATGCAACACACCGACCGCAACGTGCCAATATACTATTTAAACCATTAGTTTATTACTTAAACAACAAGTCGCACATTAAAAGAAACTCGCCACCGCGATGCAAGCATCTAGGGAGAATCCTTTGGTATGGTAAACACGGCCGGCCCCGGTGGGACGAAATCGTTCCCTGTTTCGTAATAGATTAGCGAATAGCGTTGTTCTTCTTCTTCTTCCGCCTGGTTTTCTCCGTCAACCCGGGCACCGGAGGAATCCTGCCCGTGGCGGTCGTGCCTCCCCCACGGCTTTACCCAGTGCACAAAACGCCCGTCGACGCGTCCCAGCCGGTTCCGGGTGTTGACCTGCACCACGACCCGCGCGGAAGACTCGACCACGATCCCTCCCTTCCCGTCCGAGTCGTCAAAGTTCCCCAGGCTCAGCCCGTAAAAGGGCCCACAGTTCTGCTTGTCGATGTGGGGGCTCCCCGAAAACCCGTGCGTGACGGCGATCTCCGTGCATTTCTGGTCGGCAAAGACCGGATCCACCATGCGGAGGGCGGCGATCCCTACTTCCCAAAGGCGGCGGTAGCGCTCCAGCTTTTTGGCCTTGCGGATCGCCCGGCGAGACTTTTTGTCGCGTGTGCTGCGAGATTCTTCGGCCGCCAGCTCCTCCCTGGATCTCGGTCTCCGCAGGATCATGTAGTTGCTTGCGTGAATAGATGGCCGTTCCCGGTTTTTGTTTACCAATCCCGTGTAGGACGTCCACTTGTTGAGTTCTTCCAGTAGATCATTGAGGTTTGTTTGTGGGACGGGAGTTCCGTAGACCTGCAGGGTGGTTCGATTCGCGATCAGGGAGTCGTAGCACGCTTCGTCCGTTTGGTTTGCCACTCCGGCGTTTCCCTGAAAATGGGCCATGCCCTCGTCGAAATATGCCCTGAGCAGGCGCCTCATCACCCCCGCACGATCAACCTCCGAGGGGTCCGTCGGCTCCTGACCAAAATCGCGGACCAACCTTTTCCGGAGGGCCACCGTCCCCAGTGGCTCGAGCTGGCTGCGGAGGAGGATCGGATTGCGGACCGCGGCACTCGATCCAATGTAGGTTCCCGGTGTCTCTCCGAGTTCCTCCCACAGCGTCATCTGGATGGTTGGCTTCAGTGGCAAGAGTTCCTCTTGCACCCTGTCGCGATGGAAGGGCCGGCCGCATTTCTGGTTGTACCGCAGATCGAATGTTTCGAGGTGTCTAGCAGACTCCCTTAGTGATTCCAGCCGTAGAGACTGGGTGTTGGGCCGCAGAAAATTCCGAGAAGCAACCAGCGTCCGGAGCTCGTTCAGCATTCCGATTTCCGATGGTAGGGTGTTGAACCAATTTCGGTTCAGATCGAGAGTTTGCAGATTCTTGAACAGGGACAATCCCGGCAGGTCGGTCAATTCGTTGTGGCTCACGTCCAGTGTCAAGATAGATTCGAACCGGAATGTTGGCGACAGCTCGGATGGAATCATGAGATGATCCATTTTGAAAACTCCCTTTAAAAGCAGTCGTTTCAATGATGCAGTTAGGGTATCCTTCGAAATGGTGGCTTTGATTGGAGCCGCCGTCGATACCATGGCACCACCTGGCTGTTGCTGAAGCTGTTGCAACTGCTCTTCTTTTTGCYGGTGCTTCTTCTTTTGCCGCTCTTTCTCAATATCCTTTACGTCGTCTACTTCGAGGTGAGGGGCACGATCGAATAGCATGGGATGRCTTTTCAGTCGCAGGYTTCGCTCCGTGCTTTCCAAAGCTTTGACGACATGGCTAAATTCTTCAGACAATGAGATCGGACGAGCAACTCCTCGAAATGCGTCTCGGCTGCAATTTCGATTATCGTTGTTGCTGCTCTCTTCGCCTTGCCCTTGTCTGGTGCCGATTGCAATAGCTTCTCCCATCTGTGGAGGTCTGTTCTGCACAAGGCTCTATGTGGTACAGCTCTTGTTGATGAACACGCTTTCAATCGATAACAACAGAACCTTAAAACAGATAGGTTTTACGAATCATGCGCGTAGATCACGTACCGGTACTTCTAGGAGTACGTACGTAGTAGAGTAGTTCACTGGTATGAGATGTGGTTGAAAATAATGCTATGTATTTTTGAATAGGGGATGTATCCAAAAAGACTACTACGAGTAGGACAACTAACTTGATTATGATTGTTGTAGACCATAGTGGTAGATTGTAATCACATATCGAACATGGGTCAATGATATTCAAGGAGAGGAGGCTGTCAGCACAATCATGGTGTTTGTATTGGCTCACAGTATTTTGACTGTCGATCGACAAATGGGCGTTAGTATGCCTATGTGTACGCTCCCATTAAGGGATACATGACAGTAGATGTTACTAATATTACTGGCAGTAGTACTATGAAAAGAGTTGTAATTATACAATTTTGCAACGATAGAAGTAGTATTCATCATACTTATTTTGAACGGAGGCGTGTGTATTGCTGAATTCTTGAACGTTTCAGTCCAAGCTTTCCGTATTGTTTGCGTGCAATGATTTTGAATCACTGATCAGGGTGGAATTGAATATGGAAGCGGAGCTTCCGGTTGCCCCTTCTTTTCGGGGACGATTCATTATTTCAAAGGGTTCTTCCGAGAGGGCAGATAAATCCTGTTGAGATGTCAAAGAGTACACGTTTTGTACCAARAACTGTGARATTTTGAACGGAAAAGTGCACTTAGTTGAATACTTGGACTTCCTGAAAGTGAAATCCTATGATTTCGTCGTGTTTGCGTATTGTGGTTGCGAATCACTGATGCGGGTGACACCGAAGTTATCAGTTGTCGATGATAGGTGCTACGGCAGAGGTGAGATCAGATGGGATCAGTTAAAAGGTTTTCTATCARACGGATCAAGCTCAAAGAAACCAGTTGGAATGCAAAGTGCTCAGTCATTGGTTGCCTGACAGATTAGAACCAGAGAAATGCATCGTGACTTATTTGAGCACCTTTCTGAGCACCATTTTTCGTGCACTCGCCTTCGAATCGATTGGTGTCAAGATTGGTGTTACTGTTGATGATAWAGGGGCACTCGTTTGCTATCCAATGCTTACTGTTTTCTGTCCGACACGTATTTTTTCGGAAGCTCTTGACGAAACCCCTTTCTGTAAAGGCGTTCAAATTATAGGAATTCCAGGAATTTCCCGACTCCCGATCGGTACATCGAAATGTGTCAGGATTGCAGCAAGTGCAGCACTCGCATCCATTGGTTTCACCTGAACAGTCGCCCGCAATAGAAATCGTCCCTTCTTTATAATCTTGACGGTTACAAAATTCATTCATTGGCGCCGACAGCCAAGGAGTGTTCACAAAGCTGACTCTAGTGAGTGTGGGCAGCCTCAGAAGACTCTGGGGTATGGTCCCATCGATACAATTGTCATCTAACACGAGGGTCCTTAGTTTCGTGAATCTCTCGTATTCCTCGGGAATGGTTCCAGTCATCAGATCCCCGGCGAGGTTGAGATGTTCGAAAGTGTCCGCGAGAAAACATAGCTCGTGGGGTAATGTCCCTGCCAAACCATTCCATCCTTTCTCATTATGGTCAGRTATTGTACGAGAAAAGAGAAGTGCAGTCGCAGAAGTTAGAACGCTTCCATAACAAAGCACGCCGTCAATTAATCGTTGCATTCAACATGTACTCACTCGATGAGATCCCAGTGACACGACCTTCGTCGTTGCAAGAAACACCCATTTGTTTTTCACCATTTGCTAGAGGGAATCGTTTCGTCCACTGACATTCATCCTGTGTCGAAAGAAAGAAATATTGGTCGTCCCAATTCACTCCGTCTGTGGCAAAATAAAATAGAGCCAAAACATACCGTTGACGAAGCTTCCATAACGGAACTGGCTCTGCTACCGATTTATTTGTAATTGGATCGTTCCGTTCTGTGGTCAGACTAATCTTGTTTCTAGTGTCTTCAACAAGCCAACTGAGAGCATTAATCCGATCCATCGACATARCTGTGTTGTTTCCCCGATTGAAGACCTGTTCTTCTGCGGGACCGCTAAGGGGGGCCAGAAGAGAAAGCAAATAGTCTCGCCGTTTCTCCTTTAAAGGATCTGGGGTGGAACCGGGGTTCATCTTCATAGATTTTTCTCCTTTGGTTTTTCCTGCAACAACGAACGCMATTGTTGTTACTAGCACGAATAATATGGCACTCGCGGCACACAAAAATAATGTCTTCGAGGACCATTTATTCTTCRTSTTGTCCTCTGCCACGCTCTCTACGGGGCTTGCTTCGTAGATATGTGTGTTATTCTTAACGAGCACTGCCCTTATCACGTTGGTTTGTTCTTCCTCGCCCGATTCGCGATAAATATCTTGGCTGCTAAGAAGGGCGCACGCAGTCTCGGACTGAGCCAATGTTGGCAAGGTTTCGTCTGGAGCTCGAACACGAAAACCAAGGCTCATGCTCTGGCGAAGTTCAGGAGTGGTTCGAAGAATCGCTGTTGAGGGTCCAGAAACGACTCCCGATTCCCCTATTAATCTTTCGATCGCAAAGGCTCCCGGCGTGGTTCGAAGAATTTCCTGCTGCTGTGCAGAGGAATCATGATTAGAATTGAGAGTCGTTGAAGAACAATCTTGTTTGTTTGTTTCTGACTCTTTCGCTACAGTACTATCAGAAGCGAAATTGGCGTCAATACCTCTTTCCAAATCCAACTGCTGCTCCGTGGCATCATTTTTCTTTATTTGACCAGAGGTTGACGAATAATCAGGATCATCTTCCGTAAGTTTGACAAGAGTATCAATGTGAAATCCTGATGATGAGGAGGAATCGTCAACGATTTCGACCACCGTCCCACCTCCTTTG